TTGGGTGTGAACCAATCACCCATGATGCACAGCACTTACTGCAGTTATCGTCGCCATAGTGATTCAGCAGTGGCTTTGAGTCCAAATGTAATGTCATTGGCAAAAGAACTGACAATGGAAAATGCAAACATCTTAAAGAATAGAGAAGAGGAAGCAAGTAAGTCACAGTCAGTGGCACTGGAAGCTTCTGAAAATCCCACTGAGTTGATGATACTTCAACACAGTTGTCAGGCACATTTGGCCCATCTGCTTCCTACTAGAGACCATCCAAAAATGTCAAAGTTCTTAATGCCTGCACATCTGAAATGTGCTACACCCCTTTCTCATTGGCTTTGTAACGCAGTGTCAAAAAGCTCAGTATCTCAACCTCTCCCTCAGAGCCTCAGACCTTGTGGCAGAAGCTTAGACCTGCCTTTATTACATGAATCTCTCCAATGTATTATTAGCCAAAAAACTAATTGTGCTCCTGGGAGGACTACAAGTGTCACAGAAACAGCCCTGCATTCTGAGTCCTTCAGATGTCGAGAAGCCAACGTGCCAGGACACTTTAAGCCCTGCCACAGAGTTTGTGTTGGCAAAACATCACTGAAGGAAAAGAAGAAGCTGGGGACTCCACGTGTACAGAGCAGTGAAAGCAAGCTAATTAGTAAAAATCTTACTCAAGATGTGGTATGTAAAGTCCTTCATTTAATCCTTACTTAACCTTGTAAGAAAAAAAAGTTGAATCCAAGAATGACATTGTGTCTCGTTGATCCACTATATTACCCTGGATGCTTCAGGAATGTCAAACTTTACCCTGCTTTTCCCCTTTTATATTCCAAAATGCCTGCAACAAAAATAGGAATGGATTTACTCTGAAATGTTCCTGTGAATGGCTTCAAAATAACCTAGGGCAAACAATTTCATCTTTGGCACCTGTAACAAGCTCCATCAGCTGTTTAAACCACCCAACCTTTGCATATTATTGTTGGATGCAATATTTTTCCTTGTTTATGTGAAACAAAAAATTAACAGCTTTGAATATAACAATAAAAAGTGCTTTTTCAGCAAAAGCTCTCATTAAACTGAACAGTACAGCATAGTGCCTTAGAACAAGCCCATTCTTTTTCACTGATTATCTGTGGACGTTTTCAGTAATTGAACTGAAGAACATTCTTTCTTCCTTCTCCCCCTTCCTCTTGGTTATTGGGAGTTGGGAAGGATAAGAATTGTTTAAGATTTTTGGTCATGTTGCTGTTTTTCCTAAATGTTTAGGTCCAAGTTAGGCTTTGCATTGGATTTTCATCATTTTTCTGTTTGTGATAGCCCAGGTATAAACTGTGACAAGCTTGAAAAAACCTTGACTTTAAAAAAACAAAACAAAAAAACCTCACTTACTACTTCCCTACTTAAGGACATAAACTACTGTAGCAGTATAGCATCAAGCAGGAAGAGAAGGGTTATTAGTGTTTTGTAGGAATATGAGTTCAGTCTTTTAGATCTTAGTGTGTGTGTGTGTGTGTGTGTGTGTGTGTGTGTGTGTGTATACATACATACATACATACATACACACTATTCATTTTATTAATGGATTCCCTGGAAGGCCTGTATATATTAAGAACTTTTCTGATTTTTTTTTTCATTGTACTCATTTTACCTTTTTTTACCTCTTATTTTCCTATATCAATTTCATAACCACCAATTCCAGAATTTGAATAAACATCCTGACAAAAGTTTGTTTTTAATGTCCATTTTTCCCACAGAACACATGATTTATTTTTTAATAATGAATTGTCAGCCAGTATATGTGCATTTTCAGTGGCAGATGATGGAGCTTACCTGGGTTGTGGAAACCAAATTCAGTTTTATATATATGTTTGCCCTGAAAGCAGAATTTTAAAACCTCATTAAGATTCAGGGCCTGGACACATGCCACTGGCCTTTATACCAGTGTTTAAATGGACACATGCCACTGGCCTTTATACCAGTGTTTAAAACATATATATAAAAGTTATTTGGTTGCTTTCCTATTGGAAAGCTGGCTTTCCTACATTTTTAGGTCAAAATAAACTTTCCTTTCCTTGCTTATATTCTTCATTTCCTTTTCCTTGCTTTGGATTAAATATTTAGTGGCAAGCATGATTTAGAGGATTTTTTTATTTCATACCTTGTTTTCATTTTTCCCTAAAACAATATATTTTCTTTCATCCAGCCTGGACTTCCAGTAGTTCAGACTCCACCTGCTGCTGCTACTCTGTCTCAGCGACCACAACATTATCAAGAACCAGCAATGACCTTTCCAGTTGTACAACCAACCACAGTTGCTTCATTGCAGATAGGTCAACAGCAGCCTGTGTTAGGCAGCCAGCAGGTAAGAAGCTATATTCTTTGATCAAAGTTGATGACTGAACTCTTTTCTGTATTTTTATTTTTGGAAGCTTCTTCTTTGAAAAGTGTTTTTTGCTATGGGAGCATTGTCCAAGGTCGGTTTAGAAACTTCTGAAAGATCTCAAGTGCTTACTGTATAGGACTGCTGTACTGAGAGTTTGTTAAAACATTTAAATGCAGTAATTTGGTTTTGAAACCTTGCTGCTGAATACATTTTATTGCCTGGGGAAAAAAAATTAAATGCATGAACAGATGCATGTTCTCTTTTCCCCTGGTAGTTTGTGATGCAATGGTTGGCTGCTTTTCAGAGTAGAAAACTTTAGCATCAACCCTGTAACATCTGTAGTGGAGATGGACCATAATTAGATGCCTGTTTTTAATAACATTCCTTCTATTTAGTGAGTCAAACATTTAATCAATCTTCCTTGATACTAAAGGCTTTCAAAAGTTTCACTAGTGCAGCCTTGTATTGCTCAGTGAAAATGAGCCTATTGTGACTTCATGTATGCTAAAAAAAAAAAAAAAAAAAAAAAAATTAATGAAATACCTTTTATAAATAAATTTTGTTTATAATAGACTCAATCTTTATCATTGTTAGGGAAATGTAAAATCCAGTTTCTGTGTGTATGCTTTAGTGGAAAGGCTGACTTAGATAGAAGGTTTATCCCATGGGAACCGAGGAGGAGAGTGTATGGGGACATAAGATGAAACGCATGTGAGGTAATCCTTGACCCCTTCGCCTCCCTAGTACAAGGTGCCAAGGTAATGGGTGGTTGCTGCTGTCCACATTATTGTCTCTTGTCATCTCTGTTCTGGCTAATTATTGAACAGCTGAAAGCTTGTACCATCAGGTCCCAGGTAGCCAGGAAAGGTAATGCCTGGGGAAACCATGCCCAGTACGTACAGCCATACTGGGTTTGCAGTAGTTGAACTGGACCTGAAATATCCACATAGAAACACATGGCCAATGTTTATGAGTATATGATTGTTGTTTTCAATATTCAATAAATAAGAAAGGGGTTAGAATAGGTGTGGGCAATTATTTCGGGTGAAGGGCTGCTTACCAAGTTCTGGCAAGCTGTCAAGGGCTGCGTGGGTAGCCCCATTCCTTTACAAATGCCCCGCCCCCTGGTCACCATCTTGGGACTGGAAGTCCTCCCCCTAACCTCTGACCTTTGCTACCAGAAGTCCCTCCCCTTGCCCCTGGAAGTACTCCTTTGGGGAAAAGGGTTTGCCATCTTAGAATGGGGGGAAAAAACAAATTATATAATAAAAATCAAACACCCATAATATATTTTAATGTAATTACAAATATCTATTTTTGTCGTAATTTGTGTGTTTGTGCTGTATATGTAGAAATGATTGCATAATAGCTCCAAATGCAGTCTTACTTGTATCATGTGCGGAGGTGTGGGGGTATAGGTGGGTGAGTGGTTTGTGGGAAGCTGTGGGTATGAGGGTGCGTGCGTGCGTGCATGTGTATGGTAGTTGTGGGGTGTATGTGGGGGGGAAGGCGTGACTGGGGTTTGCAGGGGAGGGTTTGAGGGTATGTGGGGTGTGCATGGGAGCCCCCCTGTGTGTGCCCACCTAAGCTGGTCAGCACCCACCCTGCAGCAGCCCAGAGCCTGAGTGCCCTGCAACACCTTCCCGCCGCTGTGAAGAGCACACAGCCCCAGCGCGCCCCATGCCCGCTCTGCACCACCCAACCATGGCATGTCCCGCTGCCCCTGATACTCAAATTGCCAATTGCTCAAATCACGAGCAAGACTTTATAAAGGGGGATAAGGCAAGGTGCCGTATTTATTGATCATGTGAGTTAGACATAGAGGTTTGGGCACACCATTCATACTAATGCACACAAATCATCATACACATCATTACAAACAGGCATACACAAAACAACCCTTTCATCCACACATAACACCAGATGTAGTTACCAGCAATAGTTGCTCAATATCAGCCCAGGGTGGACAACCCGGGTTTATTGAGTATATGATGATGATGTGAAGATAGCAGATTTAAAGATAACAGCTGGAGTGGGGTGAACAGACGCATCTGTGCTCCGACAAAACAGCAGTAGAGAGAGACACTCACCCAACTTGGCATTTTCAAAGTGTTCTTTTATAGGGATTGGCATCCTTTGTTTCAGTGCTTTGGGGTTTTTCTATACCCAGTTTCTGGTTTTGTGGTGGTTGTTCTTCTTTTGTCTTTAGCTTATTTTAGCCTTGGAGTGTTCTTGTTGCCTGTTTGGCAGAATTTCTTTTATCTCCTTTGTGCCCTTGAGCTTCAAAGGGATTCTTCAGCCGTTTGTTAGTTAATTACTGGCTGGTAATTTACACATCTGGCGCCTTGTTGCTTACATAAACAGTTAAATCTTCTCCTGTTTTTATGCCATTTTCTCACCATTCACCCTCTTACACACACTTATACATAAAGGTTATGCAGAGTTCATTCACTTATGTCAAGCAGAAGGATACAAAATGGAGTTTTCAAGTTGGTTACAGGACAAGACTAACATGGTTATAATTCACTATTGTTACACTTTGTTAACATCAGCTACATTAGTTCAGTTCATGCTACACCCCTGGGCATGCAGCAGTAGCAGTAGGGACCAACGTGTGCAGCTGCAACCCTGCACACTGGTTTCAGGCTTGTCCATCCAAACTGAGCAACAGCAGTAGCAGCTGGGCAGAAACTGCTGCTCAGTGTGGGGGAAAGTGGCCCCTCCCCCTTGCCATGGCTGAGATGTTTTTTGGTGCAGCTGCCCAGAGCCTGCACTGCGCCAGGCTGCCCTGCAGCTCTGTCACCACCACCTGTGAGCTGCCCTGCAGCTGTTCTGCATTGTTACTGCTGCTGCACAGAGCAGCCCAGAGGTGATGGTGATGGAGCAGCAGGGCAGCCAGGCACGACGCAGGCTCTGGGTGGCCGCACCAAAAACTGCCCAGTGGCAGTGAGGTGGAGGGGCCTCTTTGCACCATGCCAAGCTGCAGTTTCTGCCTGCATGCTGCTGCTCAGCTTGGAGGGAGCCAGCCTGGAGCTAGTGCTGGTGCCCAGGCTGAGTAGCAGTGGTGTGGGAGAGAGACTGCTGCTCAGCTTGGAGGGAAAGTGGCCCCTCCCCATCCTGCTGCCAGTGCTTCCTGGTACAGCTGCTTGGAGCCCGCCTGCATCTGCTCTGTGGTGCTACCACTTCCCCATGGGGCAACCCAGAGGTGGCAGTGATTTGGCAGTGACACAGGGCAGCCCCCCAGCTGCACCAGGAAGTGCTGGTGAGGAGGAATGGAAGGGGCTGCTTTTCCCCCCCATGCTGAGCAGCAGTGTGTCCTGTCCTGTGCTGTCACTGCTTAACCCAGATGGGTGAGCACCGGACACTTAGGGTCAGGGCTGTGCATGCTGGTCCCCGCCTATACCATGGGGCTGGGGTGGGAGGAAGTAGGAGTGGGTGGGCGGGAGCATGCGGCCGCACCAGTGTCCTGGGGCCAATGTCAGCTTATGCTTTGCCCAAATCAGCCTCCCCTCTGAACCTCAAGCAGCTATCAGAACATCTAAAAGTCAGTCAGTGAATATTTTATGTTGGTGTTCCCATCTTATTACTAGAGGCACCCAAGGTATTTAAATAAATGAGGAAGTTATTGTCTGTTAGAAACTGCACTCTGGTCCTGGATCAAGAATTTGGAGCACCTTTTCCAAAGGAACATAAGGTTCTGAGGCACACTTTTAATTTTAGATATTTGATATATTTGTTTAACAAGCATGATTTGATGTGTACATGCAGCCAGTAATGTGTCTTTGTACAGTAGAATCTGGCAATTTGTTGGCTGTTTCCAGAATTCCCCTAGTGTCCATTTGGGTTACTGAGATATTGAAATCTATTTTATTATATAGTTATTTAGAGAAAAACCTCTTCCCTGCTGGGACAAGTAAGAACTACAGCTGAGATCTCCATTGATTGTACAATGATATTTTCAGCCACTAGTACAATACATATACTGTCCCACGTCAGTATCATAAAACAATGTTGATTTGTGAGGAATCTCCACAGAACAGCTTCAGTCAGCGCATGGGCCAAGCATCATTTGTATGGGCACATTTACACTCTTAATGGGATATTAGAGCTGATTGCCTTGCTAGCAGTAGTCTCTTAAACTCCTTATCTCCCTTTTTACCACAAGTTGTAGAGAGATACCATATTTCTAGCATGAAGTTAGTAGCTGCAGATATGCACTTAATTTTCCTGTGAACTGGGATTTTTTTTAGATGAATCTCAAACCCCCCATGATCTTAGAAGTATTGTTTTGGTCCTATTTGCACAAAATATTATCATGTTTCTTACTAGCCTGGTCTAGTTACAGACATCTGCATAGTGGTCTCTTAAGCTTTTTGCTGAATCTTCAACATTTGCTATTTTTTTTCCATGTGCAAATGTTGCTTTTCCTGCTCTGGATTGGGTTCTTTTTCTTCTTTCTCTCATGAAAGAACATGGCTGTTTCTTGAAGCCCTTGTCACAGATGGAAAATGAACTTAAATATTGTCAGTCTTGGTCTTTCTGATTAATCAGACCACATTACTCATTTCTTCTCTTCTCTCACCCAAAATACAACTCACCTTGAATATATTGGTGCATAATGTAACGTGCCATATACACTCTAGACACTGTGATACGAATTTAGGCTTGGGGCTAAATGGAATTGCCCTAGGGATGAATTTGACCCAGAGGGAATGGCATTCCAGCTCACAGACAGACTTGTTTAAAAAAAAAAAAAAAAAAAAATTACTCCTGAAATTTGGAAACCTCTCAAGAAAGCAGTATCATGGGAAGAGAATGTAGCTAATTTGTACATTTTGGTTTGCAAGGATGTAGCTTTCAGTGTAAGACCATCAGAACATTATACCAGGTAAGAAGATTGGTGTAATGGCTGTTCATCATTTCATTAAGTGCTAGGTAGCAAATATAGGAACTCAGAAATTTCTTTCATCTAGTTAACT